ACTACTACTACTACTACTACTACTAGTACTGTTACTGTTATTATTATAATTTTCGAACATGTCATTATGCAGTGTTGTGTTTTTCATAACGTGACTCTCATATTTTGTATCATTTTTAATATAAGCGTTAGAACTAGCTATTACACGTATGTGTTTTTTTGCATGGTTAGTTTTTTCTGCATACATTTTAATGTATGAAATATTTGCGTATTTAGAGCCCGAGTTTTGTTATTTTAATAGGAAAAAATTCCGTATAATATCAAGGTGATATTCAACTTCGGTGAAAGGATACGAATATTCATTCGTATCCTTTCAATTTGACAAAAATTTTTAATATTTTATTTCTCATGTACGTTTATAGTTCATTCATATTATCACTAGTGTTATTTCAATTTTGATTGATATTTTAATTAATGATCACGATAGAAAATTGTTACAGTGAATCGAGTTTGCGAGCTCATTTTCATCAAGCACACATTTTGTTTTTCATAAATATTTCGCAAGATATCCTTCGCTTGTCATGATCTTTATTTATCACGTTTTTATATATGATGTAATTTCTTTATTAAGACTACAAAATTAAATCGGTTATCTTTTAACATCTTAATATCATGATTCTTTTTTCTTATTTTTTTTTTCATATTATTAGATTTTTCCATATTATTATGGTTTTTTGAATCTTAATTTTTTTTTAATTTTTTTCTTGCATAAAGAAAATCGAATTTATGAAGAAATATATCTTTATATACGTGTTACATGTTATATGTATTATAGGAAATGATGCTGGCCCAATTTCGCCCATGCACGACATTCCACTGTATGCTGATGAAGCTAATAAAATATTAAATATGATCGTTGAGATACCAAGATGGACAAATGCAAAGATGGAGATCAATCTTAAAGAAACATTGAATCCTATTAAACAAGATGTTAAAAAGGGCAAATTGAGATATGTTGCCAATTGCTTTCCTCATCATGGATATATTTGGAATTATGGTGCTCTGCCACAAGTAATTTTATTACTTGATTAAATCAAGATATTATGTTATCAGTACAAGGAAGTAGAATACAAAAGAATTTATAATTAATGTGATGATGCATTTCCCCGTTTGTAACATCACTTAACATTTATAGAATGACATCATCAATTTCATTGACATTAATCTAGAGTAAAATGAATGATGATTGTACGACACATACACATTTTTCTATCTGTGTACACTCTGCTTAAGAGTGTGAACAATGTCTTATCAAAGCTTATGTAAACTCTTAGTCTTGGTTCAAGGGTACATTATCTATAGTGTCTATTTTCTAATGTTCAGTATTTCTCCATATAGTTTTATGTATTTTCTAGATTTTTCTTTTTTTATTTAAATATTTTTATAAATAAATTCGCAAGTTGTTTTGCAATATAGACTATTCATATAAAAAATTGTTTTATAAACAGACATGGGAAAATCCTGAAGTACTGGATGAAGCTACTGGATGCAAAGGAGATAATGATCCCATTGATGTTCTTGAAATAGGATACAGGGTAAGGAATTTTTATCAGATGTTAATTAATGAAAAATTTTATTTTGTACTTAGTAAAATGATCTTTGTGATTAGGTTGCCAAAAGAGGAGAGATCTTGAAGGTAAAAGTTTTGGGTTGTGTTGCACTTATTGATGAAGGTGTGTAATATTAAATAAATAATTAAAAATTATTTCTTCAAATATGTTATTTTATTTCTTCCAATTTTAGGTGAAACAGATTGGAAGATTATTGTTATTGATGTCAATGACCCTTTGGCAGAGCAAATGAATGGTAAGATTTACATTCTACATCACAGATGATTAGATTAATTATACTCGTAATTTATTCAAATTATGTATCATAATATATTCTTTACAGATGTATCTGATATTGAGAAGCAATATCCTGGTTTGATGAAAGCCACCATTGAATGGTTCAAGATTTATAAAATACCAGATGGTAAACCGGAGAATCAGTTTGCATTTAATGGGGAGGCAAAACCAAGAGACTTTGCTTGGCATATAGTCGAGGAAGTACATCAACATTGGCAGAATCTCATTAAACGAGAAGCTCCTGCAGGAGGAATTGCATGGTTTGTAAATTCTATTTACAAACATTTAATTTGAAGAAAAATACTTGTCTCAAATTGTAACAATTGCACACAGCACTAATACGACAGTGGCAGGCAGTCCTTTCAAAACAACTACAAAAGCTGCTGATGAAGTAATAGAAAAAGCTCCAGAAGCATCCGAGGCTCAGGCAGTAGATCCCATTGGTAGGTTACAAATATTCGTTTGTTTTTAACAATCATTCAATCAATTTGAAATAATTATGACATAATTCTGATTTATTTACAGTTAATAAATTTCACTTTATTGTACCACTACAACATAAATTATAAACACGCTCAAGATACTAATTTCAAAAGATTTCATAATTTATTCTAAATGTTGTGTCTTTTATGTTAATATTAAATGACTTTTATTAAAATATTTCGATGTTTGATTTCAGTCGATAAATGGCATTACGTGCATCTTAAGTGAGAGTAAAAGGGTATTTTTACATCAATACATCTATTGATGTCTACAACACATGCTTGTTTTTATGGTACATAATGGAATACCACGTATTACCTCCACATTCATCATAAGTTTTGATACATTCTATAGTTATAGTATTTAAATGCTATTGCATGTGCTTGCAGTATCCAAACAAGCAACACATTCGCGCAGTCAATTTGCACCTGTATCTTATTTATTTTAATATATTTGTGTTTGTCAAATTGGAAAATATGTGTACAAAGTTTTGAAAGTATGTATCTTTTGATTACGGATCGAAACTTATTACTGTACTGTGTGTACGTAGATATAACGGGTAGTAGAAACTAAATATACTCTTGTACATGTACAGAGTAAAGGTTGTGATACAACTTTGTATGGTTGTCCAGCAATAGGGTATTCTAGACCAATAAATCTATTTTCCCATACAATTTGTTATATTACAAATATAATGTAATACAATAAATTCATTTGCGATTTAAATTTCACATTTTCTATTAAAAAAAAAACTTAAATCCTATATTTCTACTTTTCTTGTCTCACCCTTGAAAATTCACAAAAGAAATTAGATACCCAAAGAAAATTTATTGTGAAAATTTATGTAATTAAATTGAATATGAATACTAATATATTTACTTAGAGAGATGTACATTTAGAATAACAGATTTAAAGAATTAGCTGATTCGAAATTAAATTACTGATATATCTAATAGCACAAATGCTGTCTTAATAATGCTGCAACTGTATCGAAGATGCGTGTTCAACTATTACATTCCGCGAGGAAATAATCTCCAAGGAAACATTCATGTCTGCTTCATAACTGTGCTTAAACATATGAGCCACAAGGAATATACATCGTCTTACAGGACACACATCTCTAAAACCAACGAGACGAATCGGCCCTTTGGTACAATAAATCCCTAACAGAAGCAACATCTGACATAGAGAGAAAGTGAAACTACCTGAAATATGTATCCAAAAATGACTTCCACATCTAAGTTGTTCTGATTCTCAGCAATGCGTGCAAACTTTTAGAGAAGTATTTTGCAATAATGAAAATATATTCCAAACTCTTTAAACATTCCCAAAGAGGAAAAGCAATGTTCTCGCTAATGTTTCACAGAAGAAAAATTAATCAAGTGCACATATTCTAATCCCGAGATTAGAGAATTCGAAATAGAGAGAATTCGCTTTGTCAATTTGCGGTTAACGTAGCAGGACAGCACACAGCGGAAGAAGCAATACGTAACAAATATGAAGTAGCGACCTCTTCGTGTTGGCTCAGTAACCTTTCTCCCTTTTGTCTTTCCCAGTGATGTGATCTATTTTGCAGAGATGCTTGCGCGACATTGCCTTCCTGGTTTCTACTCCCGCGGGAAATGTCCGTGCACTTCTCGTACCCGAGGAAAATAGCTCGACAAGTAGGAAGGAGGCGCGGGTTAAGATACACAATGTAAGTTGCGCGGCAAGAAAATAATAGAGACAAATTACCGCGACAACTTTCCACTCGAAATACTAGGTCTGCTTTTATGTCTTTAAGTACATTTGAAGAAAAGACGGAACTCGAAGGAATGGTAGGAGATACAGTACCTGCTAGTTGTATCCCGCGCTCCTAAAATTTCAGACATAACTTCAGAACGTGGATGCACACACCATTGTGATATTACTCGGGGGATCTCGACGCGATAACATTAAATTTCCTTTAAAAGATCGATAAACACGATTGAACGATTTAATTTTACGATGTCGAGTTTAAAGTTGTTTGGAAAACTTGCTAGATTTCCGTGTGTTCGATACTCGCCAATTAAATTCACGAGTGATTTGTCTATCGATCAGCGATTGCTCGGTCGATTCGATTTTTCACTCCCACCCCTCCATTGTTCCCGCCATTTTTTTGCGACAGTCAGGATAACGGGTACGTAGCAATTCGTGGCAATCAACGTGCTTTTAAATAATCGTTGAAGTTCGACTTTCATCTCAAGGTGTTTCTAACGACTAATTTAGAATCATTAATCTAGGAAGTAATGGAACAACCAGATTCATTTTGCAACTGGATCATTTATCACAGTACTCCAAATACCGGAGATCCAACAAATGAAAGAGGCATGTTTAAGGTGTAACTTCTTTAAGGTTACTTTTAGGTAACACTTTACATCTTTTTTTTCCTATTATACCTGTCTATCTCGAGGCAATACAGTAAAATTTTTAAAATTGTTACTTAGTCGAAGTTCGATCCTTTCAAAGTCTGAACGTAACCTATATACAATGAAACGTAATGAACGTCGAAGCAACGTTAAGAGGTGTCAAGAAGATTCGTGGCTGGTTCATAATCATTCGTCTAATCCGATTCGAGAAGAAAGAATACGCGAGAGGA